TTGAACTTTTTTGTAGTAGGATTTTATCGCGACTAAGATCTGGATTCCACACTGGTCCGGCAAACTCAAGAATAGGTCTAACGTATATTGAGTAAAGTTTACTAACACAGGTTAGAGATATGCGTGCAAAACATTTACGGATCAAAAACAGTTTCGAGTTAGCACGTTTACACACCGACACTATGTGATCAGACCAATTTAAGTCACTATTAATTATCACTCCGAGATCGTTGTGTGAGGTTACAGAGTTTAAAGGATGTCCATTAATAAAGTACGGCAGTGATGGGTTATTTTTGCCGATATGTAAAACAACGCATTTTTCAATGTTAAGCGGAAGTAACCATTCTGAGGACCATTTGAATATTGCGTCAAGATCTTGTTGAAGAATATGTTGGTTAATAGTTGGATTCACATATAACTTCGTGTCATCAGCGTAAATGGAAACCTTACTGGATACAATGAGCGGAAGATCACTAGTGTAGACACAAAAAAGTAGCGGTCCAAGTACTGATCCTTGTGGAACTCCACTCTTGACTGGCTTATCTAGTGAATGGTCTTCCCCAACACGAACCCTGAAGTATCTGTCGGATAGAAAATCTTGTATCCAAATGTTTAACTTTCCGCGGATACCATAGTGATCCAATTTAGCTAGTAATCGACGTTTTGGAACACGATCGAAAGCTTTGGAGAAGTCTAAGTAAACTACATCGACAGGATTCCGATTGTTTAAAGATAATGACCAATCATTTACACAATGAAGTAAGTTTGTGATCGTTGAACGACCTTTGATAAATCCATGCTGTTGGTGAGGGGTGACATTTTCTTGAAGAAGGGACTCGGACATAGCTTCCGAAATAATCGATTCCATGACCTTGCCGACAATAGGAACCAGGCTGATTGGACGATAATTATTGCAATCAAGTTTATTACCTTTCTTGAATACAGGAGTAACAGAAGCCAATTTCCAGGACGAGGGGAGGGAACCGTGATTAAAAGAAGCAGTTATTATGAGAGATATAGGGATGGCGACAGAATCTGCACAGTGTTTGAGGAAAAAAGAGGTGAGTCCGTCTAATCCAGGTGATGAATTATTTCGCAGTTTCTTTAAATGATGTTTAATTTCATCCGGTGTGAAAGATATATTTTCAAGAGTTTTAGACAAACGAGGGCACATTATTTGAGGAATGGTATCGTTAGATTCATCTGTAAAAACTTGAGAAAAGAATAACGAGAAACATTCCGAAGATTCGTTATTCGAAGAACATAAAGACCCATCAGCTTTTTGAAGCAGTGGTATGGAAACTTTAGAAGATAAAGATGTACGAATGTACCGATAAACTTTTTTACTATTACCACTTGCAATGATAGATTCTTCAAATTCTGTTCTTAACTTTAGCAAAGATTGTTTGAGTCGGTTAGAAAAATTACGGTGGGTGAAAAAATCATCAGGGGAACTAGTGAGTTTATATCTTCGCCAAAGCTTTCGCTTATGTCGAATTAAATGAGTAGCTGAGAGGTTAATCCAAGGTTATAGTCGATTTCTATATACCTGCCGTTCGATTGTATGATCAGAAATTGTTGTAATAGCAGTATGAAGAAAAGAGTCCCACATTTACCAGAGTGATTAGAAAAAATAGATTGCCAGTTTAACTGGGATAAAACTGAATTTACATCAATGAAATTAGTAGTGGCATACGTTACGAAAATATTTTTGCAAGGCGGTGTTAAACTAAATTGAATGTGAGCAGTAATAAGCGAGTGGTCAGAAAGACCCACAGGAGAGGACACTTCAAGTGAAGAAATTAATTCATCGTCATTTGTGAAAAATAAGTCTAAAATTGAAGGATTATTGTTGGCTCTAAACCTTGTAGGTTCAGTTATCAGTTGTAATAAATTTGAGTTCATGATAAAGTTTTTAAACAAATTTTGGGAATTGATAGTATCAATTTTGGAAATAATGGGCCAGCTTATTTCTGGAAAATTGAAATCTCCAAGAACAATGAGATTTTCAAGGGATGATAATTCCTCAAGTTTGTTAATAAGCATATTGTCCTGAGTAAGTACTGTATCAGGAGGTCGCTATATGCAAACTATATTAAATATGAAAGAGTTATTAGTAATAAGTAAGTGGATAATTTCTATACCGGGTACGTCTATTGTTTTATTACTGATGGAAAAAGTGTTGGTAATTTCATTTGCTAAATAGATGCATACTCCTCCCCCTCGACGAGTACCTCTGTCTCTACGAAATATAGTAAAATTATTAATGTTTACAATAGCATCGGGAATAGAAGAATTAAGCCACGTTTCTAAAAGCTTCGATCAGAGATTATGTGGACCTAGCAATAATGTCTATGTTATCTGCATAACCGACCACTTGTACAGATTTATTAAAGATGGTGCCATTCGTATTAATATGGCACTCTCGAATTACTTTTTCCAGTGCAAGGTTAAATAAGAGGCACGAAAGTCCATCTCCCTGTCTCAGTCTATTTTTACAATGGAAGGGTCTTGAAAAGTCGTTTTGGATTCTGACTACACTCTCTGCGCCTATAAGTGTAAGTTCCGTTAGTTGAATAAGATGAAGCGGCATTCCACCATAGCCTGTAGAAGTTTTTATCTGTTGACTGAGTCGTATGCGGCTTTGAAATCCACGAATATGCGGTGGGTGTCGAATCCGAACTCAAGCGTTTTCTCAAGAATCTGCCTGACTGAAGATTTGATCCGTTGTTGATTTATTGGGTCGGAAACCGCACTGGTAGTTCCCAACTATTTGTTCAGCATAGGGGATCAATCTTCTGTACAATACGTTGGACAATACTTTATATGCCACGTTAAGTAGGGTGATGCCTCTATAATTATCGTACACCATCATATCTCCTTTTTGGTGAAGGGGGTGCATTACACCTAATTTCCAGTCTGCGGGGGTTTTCTTCCGTAGCCAGATTTCGATTACTAATTTATGCATGTGTTTAAGAAGGGTGTCACCACCGTTTTTAAAGGGTTCGGCAGGAAGATTGTCAAAACAAGGGGTTTTGTTATTTTTCAGTTTTGAAATGGCTTCTCTAATTTCTTCTTCGGTGGGGGCGGCTCTTGGCGTTTCCATCCATTTCAGGCAAGGTAATTTCTCTTCACGACTGTCGCTAAGTAGTTCTTCAAAATGATTCGCCCACCTGTTTAGTATCTGTTCTTTGTCACTAATTATGGAACCATTTCTGTCTATGCATGCTGTTATTCTGGGTTTGAATTCTGTTCTGCAGCTGTTTATCTTCTGGTAGAATTTTCGCGAGTCTTTTCTGTTGTGGTAGTTAACAATCTCGTTTAGAGCGTTTTCGTATGACTCTTTATTTTTCTTTCTAAACGTCCTTTTTTCTTCTCGTCTAAGATTTTCATAGTCTTCCAGGTTTAATCTCGTTCTGCGCTGCTGAAGTCTCTTGTATGCTTCATTTTTCTGTTGGTTAATCAGGATCATGTTATACCAACAAAAAATTACCTTAAATATATCATCAAAGCCCGTTATGTCCAAAACGACAAATACCGATAAGGATGTCAAGCTCAAGAAACCATCCAACATCTTACTGGGGACTGCCAAGCATTTGCTGCAACTAAATACAAGGAGTAATACTTTCAGTAGGGAAAATGCTTCATCAAGAAGTAGCTATTTAACTGGGACTTCTTCAATCAAACCATCTCCCATATTATTAATACATTCCAGAGAGTATGCTTGAAAATTACAACTTCAAGCTATATTGGGATCGCACTGTGCTCACAGACCAAACAGTAGCACACAATAGACCAGATCTCGTTCTAGTTTATAAACTAACGAGACAACCAACATTTATCGACGTGGCGATACCTAACAACTATAATCTACATGTTAAATAAAACGAAAAGATCGCCAAGTACAGAGATCTGGAAATACAAATAAGGAGACAATGGAGAATGAAAAGTACCCAGACACCTATTATTCTGTCTACTACTTGAATCATTCCGAAGAACCTCCTAGCATACCAAGTCGCCTAGGGTTCGATATCGCGGAAAGAGGCCCACCTTTTGATACCGTAGGTATCTGGGATGAGTGAATTTTCTCCTTAGAGGGAGTGTAAGACGTATGGTTAAATCTGAATAATTGTAATAATAATAAAGTTCAAAATATAATGTAAACACACAATAGACCAGTAATCTTTCAAGATATTTTAACAAGTAAATTTAAAAGAATATTTTTTATCAAAAGTTAGACGTAATATGTTTATTCACAACAATAAATAAATTTTGCCCTCTCGTTCCATCCAAATATAAAAAGTGCAGGTAGTAATTTATAAAGTGAGTTTGATGAATTTTGTGAGTAAAATGTTAAACCCTTGTCCCTTATAGTGTCGTCTGTTACAAATTTTACAGTTCTTAGTGTAGACTGTATCGTACTGACAGATGATTGTCTTCTTTTTTAAGTACATAGATGTTTTTCCTTTATTTTTGTGCGATTTTTATTATTACCCAATTTATGCCCCGCACCCTACTTAAGGTGTGTTTTTGGTGATTTTTGTGCACACTTTTATATACTGGATTGCTTAACATCACTTTTGGTTGGTTATTATTATAAGAAAAACCTTCTTAGACATGGTAACGATTTCCGAATTATTAATCTTTTGGTTTTAAGTTTGTAATGTTTGTTGCCGACATTTAGGATGACCCTACTATATTTAAAAAGAACTTTAACAGTAAAATATTAACACTATAAAAATATAGCAGATTTGGGATATTTTAAGTTTTATTTTTTATTTAAAATTTAATGTTCCATACTTCTTACAAAATAAATATACATACGATTGCCGAATGATAAATAAAATTTGTGTAGCATACTCGTGGCGCCACTGTATGTTATTTTTTGAAAGTTTAAAATTTATTTGACAGGACACATTAAATGTTTGTCATTTTCGACCTGTTATTTATTTAAACTAAGATTTCTATTCTTGTTTCTCATTAATTCTACTTGGGCTCTGATAATTTAAGCAGTGACACTGACTGACAAGTATTGTTAGTAAACTAGGGTCGAAGTGTTCTTAGTTGATAGTAAGTTGTATTTAGAGATACAACCTTTGTGTTCACAAAGTGATTACCTTTCGAGAGTAATTCTTTTCAGTTAGTTGTAACAAACTGATGGTAACAATTTCATGACAATTTGAAAAATGTCGTCTCCAAGTGCTGGAAAAAGACGTATGGACACGGATGTTATTAAACTGTATCCTTTGTTTTTTCTATATGATATATTCAACATTAATGTCTTATATTATATCAACTAATAATAGTATATTTTTGCTATGTTCTTTTCATCTCTTTAGGTACGAATTGGCTAGCAAAGTTTATACCTTTGTCATGTCAAGAGTAAATATTTATTCACTGTGAACAGCTGATCGTCAACAATATGTTCATTTTCCTTAATTTGCAATTTAGCATTGAGAGTAAACATGAGGTAACTATCCTTGGTGGACTCAATGAATTTTGTGTAAAATTCTATGGACCTAAAGGAAGTAAGTACATGATACATTTATTAAGTATTATTATTTATGTCATTTATAGTTATTCATTATTTAATTAATCATATATCTTATATTCCATATACTTTAAAGTGTCATCTATACATTTTAATGACAAATCTTACATTTTCTATTCTTTTTACTATTCCTTTAAAAAATTCACAATGGTTAACTCTTTATAATATCCAAATCTGTAGTCTAAATTGTCTTATCATAGGTCTAAAAAACAAACATTCCCTCTGTAAAATTTTATGTTTATAAAAAATCTCAGTACAATAGGTCAGTACTGAGAACTTTGCTATCTATATTTATAATTATTTTGTGTTACCCAACATTATCCTAAAAACTAATAACAGGATGGTGTCAGTCAAGTTTGTACTAAATGTAATGTGTTTAGGCCTCTTGAGTTAGTCTAAGTAAGAATAAAAAAGGAGCTTTGTTTGATGTATAGGACTTACCTATATTCTAACCGTTGATTTTAATGTACATGTAGGTCATTCCAAAAGATAATATGAAGCCTTTCATGAAGGACTAGTTTTTTAAACTAGAAATTACTCTGGAGATGATGTGCTTCAAAAAAAACAAAATTTCATTAGTTTTGTCCAATCTATAATGATATGTACCTCTTGCCATTTTCTTTGTTAGCTTAGACTTCGGTACATGACATTTTTGCACATGATAGTTTTTGTTGCCTTTGTTTTTTTTTTGTTTCAGATATATTGTTAGTTGATATGTCTTGAAATAATTGTCAAAAAGATGATTCGACCAGGTATTTCAAAAGATCAATTACTACTTTATGTAAGATAACTACTTATCTTCAGTATCATTTAGTTTTTTTTTAAATAAACTTCAAAATCGTAACAATATCCAGTGGAACCACTTATCATCCAATTCTTATATTTAAATCTGACTGGCTTTCCTCTAATAAATTGTTTTGCTGGATTATAGCTGAAATATTTCACCATGGATTTGTCTATTGATATATCTTTATGGAAACATTCCCACTGTCATAATTTTTCTATAATTTTATGTGCTGAGTCCAATTTTTTAGTTACGATCTTTAGAATCACCTATTTTCGTGTTACCCACTTAGATGAACAAACTTTTTTATTTCTAAGTACATACCTGTCTCTGCTCATTGCGTTGTAAATACAGGAAACTCTTAGGTCTTTATCTAATGACCAGTATAACCTTTCTCATAGTAATCTGTTATACCCAGCTAGATATAATGTTACAAAAAAATTTGCATTTGATTAGGAAATATTGCAATTTTTTTTACTGTGCATATAAAATTGACTGGCTACACATGTAAGTAATCTGTATTTTTCTGATGAAACTTCATCAGCAGTTCTTAAATCTTCTGGTTCATCATGAGACTTAAAAGAAGTTCTGTAGTTCCATTAATTTCATTTGAAATGTAATTTGGATCTTCTAGAATATCATCAAGTTCTTTGGGTATCTGTCAGTTTATTCAAATTTGGTGGCAGACTACACAAATCAATATTTTGCAGTTGTTTGTCTTCTTGGTCTCTTGACATCTCCTGGATACCACAGTGTAACTCTAGTGGACCATCTATTGTCAGTTCTTCTCTCTAAATGTCCTGTCCACTGCCATTTTAAGGATTTAATTCTGTGGATACATCAGTGACCTTGGTTTTCTCTCTGGTTCATTCTATTTATTCTTTCTTGATTTCTCTTTGTTATACTTAGCGAGAATTACTCCAGTGACTTTTGAATAACTTTTAGTTTCAATATTATCTCTTTCTTTAGTGTCCAAGTTTCACAGCTGTATGTGATGTATGATTGATAGTTAACACTGATCTAATATTTTTTCTTTCGGCATAGTGGCATCCTGGATTTAAATATAACTACATTTTTACCAAAAGATCCTCAAGCCACTTTCATTCTTCTGTTGATTTCTGGGAGTAAGGTGCTAGATTTATGTATTAATTGTCCTTGGTATACATACTTGTCTACTGCTCATTGTACATGGTTTTTGTTTTTGTCAAGTTCATTTTTAGGTCGACTTCATTGCTAGCTGCATCTAGGTTGCTTATAAATTCTTGTAGTTCTGCAGGATTATTAGTAATAAGAACGATGCTGTCTACAAATCTTAGATGGCTGACGTATTTTCCACCAATGGTTATTCCTTTGCTCTGTCAATTCATTTTGCTGAATATATTTTCTAGAGTTGCAATGAAGAGTTTTGGCGATATTACGTCTCCTTGTTGGACACCTTTGGTAGTGGGAAATTCTGGAGTGTTTTCATAAATTTTTACCTTAGCTTTTGTTTGTCTGTATATATTTGCTAAAATCTCTATGTATTCTATTACTGCCTTGGGATATATAGAATCGAAAGCCTTCTCGAAATCTATAAAGGTTAATACTATCATTATTTCATATTATTTACCTCTACTCGTTAGTTCTTGAAGAATATGGGGATATGATTCATGGTATTGAATCCACTTCTGAACCCAGCTTGCTCTCTTGACTGTGAGGCATCTAATGCATTTGTTAATCTGTTGTTGATAATCTTTGTAAAGATCTTCTATATAATTGTTAGCAGACTTATCTACTAGGTCTGTACTTTTTGATATGCTCTTTTCTACCTTTCTTATGAATTAGAATTAGGTTTGCTGAATTCCAGTGGTTTGCTATGCATCTTGATCTTAGGCAGTTCGTAAATATGCCTGTTAAGGTTTTACACATTTTTTGCCAGTATTTGCCATATTTAAGTAGTTCCACTGCTAGGCCATCTATTCCAGCTCCACAAAGACTCCTGGTACATCTTCTTCATTGTTGATTGCTTTTTCAAGTATTTCAGGTGTTTCATGTAATTTCAATAATTTTTGTCCCAAGATTTCAAAGTCAAATATGATTAGGCGGATAAAACCATAGATTTCAAAGTCAATATCCCAATCCTACTCACACAATTAATTGCAGTAGAATTAAAAACAAACAAAAAATATAGAATTTTATAATTAAGGTATCTGGATCATTTTAATTACAGATGACAAATTATTAATTAGATTTTTATTACATCTCAGGGTTATTATTTGAGTTCAGAAATACCTATTTCTCTAGAGTTCAATAATAATAGGGGTAGTAAGAAATAAATAAAATTCAGATTTGTTCAATATGATTAAATATAATGTTAAAATTATACTAACATATTGACATTAAGGAAATAATTGATGAAATTCTGAGTAGCCCGTTGAAACTTACCAAGGGACCTGACGAAGTTCCATTATATTTAAAAAAAAATGTGTATACACTTTGGCAGATCCAATACACCATTTATTTAACCTATCACTAACATCAGAGATATTTCCTGATTTCTGGAAATCTAGTTTTTTAACACCAATTTTCAAGTCTGGTCAGAAAGATAATGCTGAAAATCACTGTGCAGTTTGTATACAATCACAGTTACCAAAACTATTAGATTTGTTTGTAAATAGAATATTAAGTTTTGATTGTAAAAACATAATAATTGGTGAACAACATGGTTTTAGCCAAGGTAAATCCACAATCCACGGGACCTGATAGAGGAAGATTATCAATCGTCTGAAGACGAAGAACAAGGAGGATTTAGAGCAGGTCGTTCATGTACAGATAACATCTTTTGTCTTAAACAAATTATAGAAAAGAAAGTTGTGACAAATAGAGAGTTACATATGACTTTTGTAGATCTTGAGAAGGCATATGACACAGTCCCGCTAAATAAACTATGGGAAGTCCTGGGCACATTAAATATACATCAAACATTGGTTAGTGCTCTCAAAGATCTATATTATGGTTCAAACTCCCAAATGAAATTCGGAAATCTCTTAGCTGAAAAATTTGCAGTTACTAAGGGTCTCAGACAAGGATGTTGTATCTCTCCGACTCTGTTTAAGATTTATATCTCTGCAGCTCTGAAACAATGGAAAAGGAAAGTCAAAGGAATGGGTATACAATTGAACGATCAGGATTACATATATACTTTACAGTTTGCAGATGATCAGGTGGTGATCTCAAATGACAAAGACGACATGGAATACATGCTTAGAAAACTAATTGAAGAATACCAGAAATGGGGATTAAATATCAATTTAGAAAAGACAAAATACCTCTCAATTGGAGCTGAAGCAGAACAACTCGATATCGATGACAATCAAAAAGTAAATCCATGTGACGAATATAAATACCTGGGCGTCATCTTCGACCGTAGTGGAAAAGACGAACGAGAAATAGAACATCGAATTGTACAAGCACGAAGAGCTATAGCATGTTTGAACGGAATTCTATGGAGGAGTAAAGAAATATCAAAGAAAAGAAAATGGAACATCTATGAGACAATGGTTAAAACTAGCCTACTTTATGGAGCTGAGACATGGAGAATAACCGAGAAATATAAGAAAAAGGTCGAAGCCACGGAAATGGATGCCATCAGAAGATCGATGAGAATATCAAGAGCCGACAGAATACGGAATGAAGTGATAAAACAACAAATGGGTATAGAGGGCACTATAGTTGAGGATATTGAGAGAAAACAGCTCATATGGTATGGACATGTGAGCCGAATGGGGGACGAAAGATTGCCTAAAAAAACGATGATGTGGCAACCCCCAGAGAAGAGGAAACGAGGAAGACCACCACAGAGCTGGAACCTGGGAGTTAGGAAAGCGATTAGCGCTCGAAATCTGGACGAAGACCTAACTCAAGACCGAATACAGTGGCGGTTGGGAGTCGGACAACGTCGTAAGACGTTATAAAACCGAATGTATATATATATATATATATATATATATATATATATATATATATATATATATATATATATATATATATATATAAATCCACAGTTACAAATCTCGTGTATTATACAAATTTTATCATTAACTCGTTGGAGTCTGGTTTTCAGGTTGATTCAATCTATGCTGATTTCTCAAAAGCTTTTGATAAAGTCAATCATGAGATCTTGATTTGCCAAGCTTTGTGGCTATGACATTAGC